TGTGGAGGCATATCAAAGTTGGGGCTACCACCATGCCCTCTCAAATCTGCTGGACAACGAAAGCATCTGAATTTCAAGTTGTTCATATCAATATGTTGTGTGATTGCTTCTTTGCTTCTGGCATCTGTTGTTGCTATTTATCATGGGAGAAAAAGAAGCAAGAAATCTTCATGTTCAGAAACAATTGACATGATTTCAATAGTGTCATATCAAAGTTTGCATAATGCCACAGATGGATTCTCTATCAACAACTTGATAGGATCAGGGAGTTTTGGCTCTGTATATAAGGGAAGTTTTGAATCTAATGAAGTTATTGCGATAAAGGTCATCCACCTTCAGATAAGGGGAGCTCACAAAAGTTTTGTGGCTGAATGCAATGCACTTAGAAATGCCAAGCATCGAAATCTAGTAAAAATTATAACATGTTGCTCTAGCATAGATTACAAGGGCCATGAATTTAAGGCTCTAGTTTATGATTATATGGTGAATGGAAACTTGGAAAATTGGTTGCATCCTAAGGCAGAGAATCTAGATCATCCAAGAATTTTGCTCCTTGATCAAATAATAAATATTGTTATCGACATTGCGTCTGCATTAAACTATCTTCACAATGAACACGGGCAACCTCTAATTCATTGTGATTTGAAGCCAAGCAATGTTCTTTTGGATGGAAACATGGTTGCTCATTTGAGTGATTTTGGATTGGCAAGACTACTATCAACTGTTGAAACCACCTCTAATGAGCAAAGCAGCACAATCGAATAAAGGGTACTATTGGCTATGTTCCTCCAGGTATCATTTAATATATTTTTTTACTACAAAGTCATGCAATTCATTATGTTTTTTAACTCAATTTTTTCCATTTTTTACTACAATGTTTCAGAATATGGAATGGGTTCTGAGGTATCAACACAAGGTGATATGTATAGCTTTGGCATTCTTGTCTTAGAGATGCTAACTAAAAGAAGACCCACTGAAGGTATGTTTAAAGATGGCCACAGTCTTCAAGCATATGTGAAAAATGCATTTCCAAACAAGCTTTTGGAAGTTGTAAGCCCAACTATTTTTCCACAAGAATTAGAACATGCAGTGGTAGCATCAGGAGACATATCAGAGAACATGATGCAAGTCCATCCTAATGTTGACAACTGCTTGCGTTGTTTGTTTATGATTGGACTTGCATGTTCAATGGAATCGCCTCATGAAAGGATGAGCATAATTGATGTTTTGAGGGAGCTAAATTCTGTCAAAAGCTTTTTTCCTTTATGGTGAGTACAATATCGTCTAAGTGGGTGTTTGGTAATCACAAAAAACACTCTTGAAAAATATTTTTATGCAAGTTGAGATAAAACTTCTTTCACATATTTACTTCATATACCGTAAAATCACTTTTAAAATCATGATTTAGTTTTCTTCCAAAAACAATATAATCCTTTTGGTTTGATTTGATCTCCACACAAACCAATTTGATTTACTTATTGTTTTTTTTTTTTTTGCATCTCAATTTGGATTGTTGTTGCAGGTAAGGGAATCGTGTCTGTTCAATTTCCTTGAAGTAATCAAATTGTGATTGGGATGAGCCTAATGCTGTTAGCTTAAGCATCTTTATTTTGTGATCATATTTGTGATATGTCAGCGTGGTTGAGATTTGCGGGCAGATCTTCCACTTCGTTGTTAATTATATGTTCAAACATGTTTTGTCAAAGGTTCCTTTATATTCCTTTACTAATTAGCATTACTTTACATAGATTACTGATAAAATTTCTGTTGCTAATTATCTATGGAATAATTTTGTCCTCGATGTGAAATTCCGTGGCTAATTTGTTTTTATTTTTATAATTTCGAAATGCTGCATGTGAAGTGTTTCATTTTCTTTACTAAATCAATCTTGTTCATACATATACATGCAATAAACAAATAATGATGTCATTAAAAAAAACAAATAAAGAAGGATGATACTCCCTCGAGCCCCTTTTTATAAGATATTTTTTTAACTAAATTACATGACTTAAGAAAATAGTTAAAATTTGTTAAATATAATAAATATGTAAAAATTAAACTTTTTCTTCTAAGTACACCCCTTATTCAATGAGACGACAAATAAGAAAAAGAAGTACTAATAATGAGATAAAGAATGAAAAAGAATGTAATATGAGAAAAGATAAGGAGAGAGAATGGGAAATTAATTAGAGATAAAATTGGTAAAAACACATTTAATGTTTAAACACTCCTAAATAAGATCTTATAAAAAGGACTAGACTAATTCAAATTTTGGGATCATATATGAAAAGGACGGAGAGAATATGAGATATTGAAATTAATTTGGGGTTTGGTTAGATAGGAGGATATGATTAATCAGAGGTATATTGTGTGGTCATTTGAATCATGACTAAGAAAAGGTAGTATCCCTTTACCAACTAAGCAGCAATAAAAGTGAACAAGGTATTAGCAAGATAAAAATTGACAAATTCTGGTTCACAACAAAGCTTTTACAATAGGAAAAATCTCTTAAAAACACACTTAAATAACCCGTATTTTTATTCGGGTCATTGAATTTATCATTCAAAGACTTATTGCAAGTGTGTTATGGAGACATAACATTACTAATTTAAAATTGAAAGGAATTAACTGTAAAATGGAATATGTTAATTTAGAATTCTCTTCTGGTTTCTAATAAAACAGGCATTAGGATCATTTCACAAATTTTAAAATTTCTTTTTGGGTCATACGACTTGATTAAGGATTTGATAAATTTAGTGATCCAAATGAGAATTTGTGTTATTTAAGTACCTTTTTAAGGAATTTTTTCTTTATAAGAAACATCGTATAACTCAAGCATACAAGATATTTTTAGAAATTACCACATCGAATTTCGGAATTCACAAGTTTCCTTTTGCAAATAGCAAAATTTTTGCATTCGGAGGCCTTGCAGATGGTTCTTGGATGGCTTCAAGTGGCAGTTAGGTTCTTGAACGGTAGTAGTTTTTTTGCTTGTTTGTTGTTGTTTTCCGTGCTGCTTGAGTCTGTTTCTTTTGTTCATCGTGTTTGTGTTACTTGTTCATTGTTTAGTCTCCTCTAAGCTCTGTATTTGAGTTTTCTATCAATAATATTTGTGTTTACAGTCCCAAAAAAGTAGTCACGGCTGGTGGGAATGGGGGAGAAATTAATCTTCCTATAATTTGATCTCATTTTTAATGAAATCCTTATATTTTTTTTATTGGGTCGTTATAATTTCATCAATTATAAACATTAGTTATTATACTCATACTTTTTTAATTTGTAAGAGAAACAATGGCAATAGCATATGACATGGCTCTCACTTATCATACTCCTGAATTGATTGTACCACATAAATAGAGATAAAATCAAAACCAACCAAATTATAGATCATATAGATGCAGAGACGGTTATGAACATAATAATTTTTTATTTTTATGTTGATAATAAATAAATTTTATTTCATCATTTATTTTCAAAAACAACACTTTTTTCCAACGCAAAAAAAAATTCATTTTATATTTTTTGGCATCCATATATTCTAATTAACAGATTATAAACATATCAACTAATGTTTATAATTGAAGGAGCTATAAAAACCCAATAAAAAAACTATAAAAACCTAATTAAACACATATATATATGGGAGGATCCTGATTAAATCCGGTTAAAATATCAAAATTCAAATTAAGGTCTACATTTTTAACAAATCTCTAATTAGGCCAATAAGCCTTATTGAGAATCTTTAAATATTGTTAAAAAATAAAATGTCCTTTTATAATTTAAAATAATATTATTTTGAAAAAAAAAGCCATGAGAACTTGACATTAGATATTATTTATTTATACCAAATGTTTTACATAAAAAATTTTTGGAAATACTAGGAGCAAAAAATTGACAATGCATAATATGATATTTAATACTAAATTTGATATATAGGTAAGAAATTTATCGGAACAGGACTTTTTTTTGGTAATGGGAATAAGACCCTTTAATTATTTGATTCCAACACCATTAAATTAATAATTTTTCGAAGGAATTTTTTTTTCTTATAGTTGAAAAATTAGAAGCGTAATGTGTTAGTATATTTCATCATCAAATTTGTCATTTTCTTAAGTGCTTTGTTATATCTGCTATATAGATGTTCTCATCATAATATATCTTATAATCTTATTGCTAAAATTCTTACTAATAATTAATGAGTTTGTATTAAAAATCTAAATAAATTTTCTAACATTTCATGAGATGGATGAAGTAATATGAACTTCTTAGTATAAATTTATTAAAAAAATTATACATTTTACTCTTTTAACAACATATGGAGTAAGAACGCATGAAGCCGATAGTTCATTTAGCAACATCTCAAAAAAAAAGAATTTAAGTCATAAATTGATTGGACCAATTACCAATTTACTACTTTAAATAGGTATTTTTAGTCTTTTAACAACATTCAAAAATTCCCAATAAGACCTGTTGGCCTAATTAAGAATTTGTTAAAAGTGTAGGCCTTAATTTGAATTTTGAGATTTCAACCGGATTTAATTAGAATTCTCCCTATATATATATATATATATATATATATATATATAATACAATCAAACTCGCTCAAAATTTTATTCTAAGACTACTCTGTAAAAGAATAAGCTTAACGTTAAACATATATATGGGTATGTGGCTGGGAAAGCCCTACATGTCCTCAAGAATAGTTCATGTAAAATCAATTTACAAAAGGATCCCAAAATGAAAGAAGCCACAAACAATACAAAATAGCCAAAATCTGAAAAGAAAAGAAAAACCCATATGACTGATCCTACTAATTCGGATTGTTTCTGTAACCATATAATCTGCATAATCAGAAAGAGATAAACACAAATAGTAGATGTCACCTATAGAATGGGACCCACCAATATGTATAGGCTTATCTAAGTACACATATCAGACGATCAGAAATCATACAGAATAATTTATCCAGCTAAACCTACGGCTTAGATTCAAACCCATCATTAACCCCCATTAACCCCGTTATTATTAACCCCATTTGGAATGGCCTCTGATCTTTTCCTCTTCAACACAATGATCCAAGTGTAAACTTCCAACAACACAGCAATTCCACCAAGACATGCAATAACCCCAATGTATGCACTTTTCCAGTTTTCATAACGATCTCCACAAGAGTTCACAAGTGCATCGAGGCCTTTAAATATGTTCACAATGCTGATGATTATTGTGGCGTATCCCACCAAGTAGTGGTAGAAATTCCAGAAGATTCTATATTTATGATCCTTGTTTGGCCTCAAAAACAGAGCAAACACCTGTATTCAATTGAGCATGTTTCTCTCAGTACCATTATACTCCTCCGGTCCTTAATATAGGACCCAATTGCTAAGTTGGTTTTGGTCCTAAATATAAGACTCATTTCTCATATTTATCAATTTTCTCTAAATTACCCCTATGAATACTCCATCAACTATAATCAAGTAGAAGATAGAGAGGGGTATTAAGAAAGATGATTATGGTATTTTAGGAAAAACATGTCACAATTTTTATAATTAACTAACTTACCTAACTTCCTTAATCTAATCAAATTAGTTAAATGGGTCATATATTAAGGATCAGAGGAGTAATATGTATTCAGAGAAGTTATCCACAACTAGAACATAATCGGAGTACGTTTTCTACCTCTCATGAGGTTGAGATTTTTTTTTAAACTTTATTTATTCTAAATAAAGTACATAAATTTTCTTTGGTTTTTTGGTGGAAATTATGGAATCTTTTTCTTCAGTTTTCAAATTATCTAGAGCAACCACCTGTATCATTGAGGTCCTGTTTGCTTCAACTCCTTGGGATTCCAATGCAATTCTTGGTTGACTTTAACCAGAGGAATAATCTCTTCATCATTCCTTAGGATTCATGATCTTATATGTGTTGATCCTCATTCCCACCTCTCTGTTACTCTCTCTAGTCCCAAATGCAAGAGGTAGGTAACTACTTGTATAGATTAAAGAAATTAGCTGAGTTAATTATTTGTAAAAAATATATAATGGTTTCTTAAAATATACTATTTAATGAGCATTTGAACTACCACTTGATGGAACTTCATTTGATATGCGCAATAACAAAGATAGTTTGGGAAAGAAATTATAAATTTAAAAGATAAAGTTAACTAAGATCTTACATTTAGAATCAAAATAAAACCCTTCACTAGCTCCTGTATTTAGGACTGGAAGGAATATTTCATTGCTCTCTTCTTAAAATATATCTATGGTCATTATCATTTTAGTCAATTCCATTCTCCACCACCCTATTATGTCCCATTCCATTCCTATCCTTTCTAACAACCAAACAGGACATCAGTTTTTCTCTTTATTTTACATGAAATGATACGCCCCTGAAGAGTTCCAAGGCAGAAGATGGTGATGCCAAGAGCTCTATGGGTGCCATACTCAACAGCAACAGAGTCATGGCCGAGTTTGAGACCATAGGCCCAGCCACCAACACCAACGATGTAGGCAGAGGTTTGGCAAATGACGTGAAGGTAAAACCAAGCACGTTCTGCTGATTTGAACACTTTCAAGTATCTTGCTATTATGGCTCCTATCGGCAGCATCGTCCCCCAGCTCACTGCATTCAACACTCCATGCACCTATTCATCATCATCATCATTTCACACCACACATTAATAACATGCTTTCCATTACCACATCATTAATCATTAATATCAATATATATATAAAAGAAATTACACTATTTATAAGTGTTAAATGCTAAAACTTCGCTTCAGATTGCGTGTAATATATGGATCCCACTTCCAATCAAACTAGTTTCTGCCTTGAACACCTTGTAAAACCATAACTAATGGTCGCAATTATCGTTGTCTTGCTTGCAGGTGCAACAAGTTGGAAGGACCAGTTGGGATTTTGCAAACTAATGGGACGCCATTTAGCCACAAATTGCGGCTAAACAGGGAATTAACTGAGAGCTATTAGTCCAAAAAAGTCTTTTTGCAGCTATTAAAAAATGACCTCTACATTGGTTCTATAACTATCTACACTGGTTGTTGTTTTAGCCGGTGTAGAAGGTGTTCTCAACACAGGTTGGTAATAGAACCGGTGTAAAAAAGTTAATAATCCCACATCTTATTTACAAAAATACCATCGGCTGCACTTTCCACACCATCCCTGCAACAATCGGCATAAAACCCACAGCTAAACTCAAGAGTCTTTACCAATTGGTTGAAGAAATCCCAAGATTGTGTTATTTTCTTTTTACACTTCAAATGTTATTAAATGATAATATTTTATCGAATAATGAAATATACCTTCTATGCCAAATATCAAACATTATTTCAAGAGTAGCTTTCAAATGCATCATTATCATACATGGGTTCGTTTAAAGACAGCGTGCCCACGTCAATTCAAATGTATAGTTTTTTTTTCCAAACTTTTTATTAAAAAAAAGGTTTGCAAATTATTGATGACAACAGGAAAAATAACATCAACCTTGGTTTTAATTTTATGTATGATATTGACATAAATTGATATTAATATCAACTGATGATTCACAATGACGATGATTGTTAAAATTTTTGTATTTAAATTATATAGAATCTAAACTTCTCTCATTGAATTTTAGATTTTCTATTTCATTCTATTTTCTTCTAGCTAAATAAATAAACCTGTTTTACTAATAGTACCTAACTCAAATAAATAACACCGCACTACTAAGTATTTTTATACGATAGTGAGTATTAGACTCTATAGGTACCACGTGAGTCTAAAGTGAAGGTAGACAAAATGAAAATGGTGAGATGAATATATAGTCATACTAAAAAAAAAATTTGTAATGAACATATACGTAAAAAAATTAGTGTGATTACTATTGATGAGAAGGTGGCAAAAATTGTTTGAGATAGTTTGGTTACGTGCAAAAAATATTTTTAAATGGGCAAGTGAAAAAAATTTATCAAATGGTATGAAATCCTCTTAAAAAAGACAGAGAACAATTTAGTGGTTAAGACTTTATTGTTGTCGTATTTATTTCTAAAAATGCCTCCTTTTCATTTCTTATTTTGTGGCAACTTACGTCATAATCGATATCCACACATTCTAATTAACAGATCATAACATATCAACTCATGCCTATAATTGAAGAAACTATAAAGACCCTGTAAATAAAATAAAAAACTATAAAAACGTAATTAAATAAAAGATGAAACTATAAAGACTCACGAATAAATTCTTCATATATAACTATATAATACAATCAAAGTCACTCAAAATTTTATACTAAGACTGCTCTGTAAAAGAATAAGCTCAATGCTAAACACATATATGGGTATACAGCTGGGAAGGCCCTACATACCTTCAAGAATAGTTCATGTAAAATCAATATACAAAAGGATCCCAAAATGAAAGAAGCCACAAACAATACAAAATAGTCAAAATCTAGAGAGAGAGAGAGAGAGAGAGAGAACCATGTGACTGATCCTACTAATTAGGATAGTTTCTATAACCATACAATCTGCATAACTAGAAAGAGATAAACACAATAGCAGACATCACCTGAGGAATGAGACCCACTAACATGCATATCCTCATCTAAGTACGCAAATCAGACGGTCAGGCATCATACAAATAAATAACTTATCCTACCAAACCTACGGCTTAGATTCAAACCCATCATTAACCCCATTCACTCCATTATTATTAACCCCATTTGGAATGCCCTCTGATTTTTTCCTCTTCAACACAATGATCCAAGTGTAGACTTCCAACAACAGGGCAATTCCACCAAGACCTGCAATAACCCCAATGTATGCGTCTTTCCAGTTCTCATAACGATCTCCATAAGAGTTCTCAAGTGCATCGAAGCCTTTGAATATGTTGACAATGCTGATGATTATTGTGGCGTATCCCACCAAGTAGTGGTAGAAGTTCCAGAAGATTCTATATTTATGATCCTTGTTTGGCCTCAAAAACAGAGCAAACACCTGTATTCAGTTGGGCAAGGGTTCTTTCAGTAACCATTATAATACGTATTCAGTAAACGTTAGCCACAACTAGAACATGTGAGTCTGTTCTCCACCTCTCAAGAGGTTGAGATTTTTCTATTGTGCTTATTCTAGATAAAGTACATGTTTCTTTATTTTTATTTTTTTTTGGGGTTGAAATGGTGGAGTTTTCTTTTTCAATTTTCCAAAAATAAATTATCTCGAGCAAACACCTGTGTCATTTAGGTCCTGTTTGCTTCAACTCCTTAGGATTCCAATATATTCCATCATTATATTCCAATCTAAGCATATTTTTATGATTTTATTCTAGTGTAATTTTTGGTTGACTTTAACCGTAGGCATAATCTCTTTCATGGCAATCATCATCCCTTAAAATTTAGGAATCTACATTCATCACTTTATGCATGTTAATCCTTATTCCCACATATCTATTACTCTCTCTAGTCTCAAATGTAGGAGCTAGGTAACCAATTTATAGAGATTTAAAAAAATTAATTTAGTTAATTATTTGTTTTAAAAAAAAGTGTGCCTGATTTTCCTAAAATACATAGTTATTTGTAAAACATGTGTTTATTTTCCTAAAATACACCTTTGGTCTATTTGTAAAAGGTGCGCTTGATTCTTCTAAAATACATGGTTACTCATAAAACATGTGAAGTCTTTGATTTGCTCATATATTTATGACCGGAAGAAATATTTCATTACTCTATTCTTACAAAAGTATGTCTATGATCACTATCATTTTAGTCAGTTTCATTCTTTACTGTCCTTGTTCTGTTCTGTCTCATTCCTATTGTTTCTAACCAAACAGGACGTCAGTTTTTCTTTCTGGGAAATGATACGTACCTGAAGAGTTGCCAGGCAGAAGATGGTGATGCCAAGAGCTCTGTGGGTATCATACTGAACAGCAACAGAGTCATGGCCGAGTTTGAGACCATAAGCCCAGCCACCAACACCAACGATGTAGGCAGAGGTTTGGCAAATGACGTGAAGGTAAAACCAAGCAGGATCAGCTGATTTGAACACTTTCAAGTATCTTGCTATTATGGCTCCTATTGGCAGCATCGTCCCCCAGCTCACTGCATTCAACACTCCATGCACCTATTCATCATCATCATCATCATCATCATCATCATCATCATCATCATCATCATTTCACACCACACATTAATAACATGCTTTCCTTTACCACATCATTAGTATCAAAAGAAATTACACTATTTATAAGTCATAAACACTAAAACTTGCTTCAGATTTCGTGCAATATATGGATCCCACTTCCAATCAAGCTAGTTTCTAACTTGAGCACCTTGTAAGACCATAGCTAATGGTCACAATTATAGTTGTCTTGCTTGCGGTTGCAACAAACTGGAAGAACTAGTAGGGATTTTGCAAACCACCAGGAAGACATTTAGCCACAAATTGCGGCTAAACAGGGAATTAACTGAGAGTTATTAGTGCAAAAGAGTCTTCTCACTGCAATTAAAAAATGACCTCTATATTGGTTCTATAACCATCTACACCCGTTGTTTTAGCTGGTGTAGAAAGTATTCTCGACACAGATTGCTGATAGACCCGGCGTAAAGAGTTAACAATCCCACATCTTATTTACGAAAATACCATCGTTTGCACTTGCTACCCCATCCCTGCAACAATCGGCATAAAAGGCCCTCTGCCGAATTGTTTTTTTTTTTGTTGTTGTTGTACTGGCAAGTAGTTATAATGCAGTTATCCTAGATCAACTCCACTTAATCTAGCATAAAACAAGACTGAAAACTAAGGTTACGTCTCTCTCTCTCCACACTCATCTAACAAGTATCACTTCAGGGAATCCAAGTGTTCATAAGAACATTAGCTATGGTTTTGCAAATCATAACACATCTAGTTGTGGTTTAAACTGTGGCTGAATGTGAAATTAACTGCAGCATAATACCATTTTGTGGTAGTCAAATATATCTATTACTGCTAAACCCTTAATCCATTAGTGGGTTAAGCGTAATATATATGCCATGTTATTTATAGGGATAATTAATCTCCAGGTCCTTATAGTTTCATCTGATTTTTAATTGGATCCTTATAAAAATTTTTCTTTTTATCAGATCCTTTTACTTTCGTGTGTTTTTAATTAAGTCATTCTATTTTTTTTTCTTTTTATCAGGTCCTTATAGTTTCGCTTATTTTTTAATTAGGTGCTTTGTAGTTTTTGAAAAATTATTTATTAACTTCATTCTTTAAAATTAATTTCATTTTTAAATTAATGATTATATAATTGGACAAAATAATTAATATAATCATTTAGTAATTAATAAATAATCAGAATAATAATTATACTTAAATATAAATTATTTATAATCATATTTTAATTTTAGAAAAATTTATTATTATAATTTGAATTTTATAATTATAAAAATTCGAATTGAAAATAAATAATATATTTGTTTAACTAAAAATTTAAAAGAATATTAACATAAGATTGTCACAATAATTTATTATTTTTAAAATGTTATTATTTGTAAAATAAAGAATAAAAACTACAAGGACCTAATTAAAAACAAAGTAAAACAATAAGGACCTGATAAAAAGAAAAAAAATTATAA